AGTGGCCTGGGAAAGCAGAGGAAGATGACCCAAGAGTTTAGGTCCCTGTACCCATGTGGGAGACTCGGATGAAGCTCCCGGCTCTTGGCTTCAGCCTGGTTGCGGCCATCTGAGGAGTGAACCAGCAGATGGAAGCTATCTCTCTCTGTTCTCCCTCTTTCTCTGTAGCTCCAACTTTCAAATTAAATAAATAAATCTTAAAAATAAATAAATAAGGAGAATACAACACGCTATGTTCTCTAGTTTTCAACAGAATGTGTATTGATGGATGGATCCACTGAGGGGCAGAGAGAGGTGAAGGAGGTGGCTGAGTGCAGAACCCAGCCGCCTCACCCCACTGCACACCTCTAAGTAGTGCTGGAGGGTCACGAGTTGTTGACCTCATATCAATGATTTTATCTTCCATTTGTAGCTCTTGGCAGATCACTGTGTACTTTCACTCTGTGTACTTAACTCTGCCGGGTAAGCGCGTTTTCATTAAACCTTTTTCTTTCCTTTTTTTTTTTTTCTTGATTACAGCATGGATCTCAGATAAAATGGTATCCAACACACTAATTTCACAGGCAAAAATAGAGCTTAGAGAGGTGGACTGATGTTTCCCAAATCTCAAGGCTGAATCGAATCCAGATTTCCTGATTTCTGTCTCTACATTTCATCTACTGTTGTTCATAGACTCTGCAGACATTTGGTCAGCTCAAATGCAATTAGTGTAGGTGTATCCAGACAGAGAATATTTTTAGAAAGTATACCTATATGCACATAGAAATAGCTTTTCTGTACATCACTGCTATTTTGAAACATTGATCTAAAAAGGCCCAGTGAGCATATTTTTGCTAATGCCCCTCTTGTCTGTCAAACTTTAGCCAACCTTCTTCATTTAGAACCCAGCCTCTAAGCTGGAAGAAAGTGGAAAAAAACCTTGGAGTAGAGAGGAAAATAATTACCAGAAAGACCATCCACTAACAGAAGGATCAGAGAATCACTCAAAGGATCTAGCCCAAAATACAGTGATTTGTTTTTGGTTCTAACGGGGGTAATATTTTTTTTTTAAATTTTTTGACAGGCAAAGTGGACAGTGAGAGAGAGAGAAAGACAGGGAGAAAGGTCTTCCTTTGCCGTTGGTTCACCCCCCAATGGCCGCTGCAGCTGGTGCATCGCACTGATCCGAAGGCAGGAGCCAGGTGCTTCTCCTGGTTTCCCATGCGGGTGCAGGGCCCAAGCACTTGGGCCACCCTCCACTGCACTCCCGGGCCACAGCAGAGAGCTGGCCTGGAAGAGGGGCAACCGGGACAGAATCCGGCGCCCCGACCGGGACTAGAACCCGGTGTGCTGGCACCGCAAGGCGGAGGATTAGCCTAGTGAGCTGTAGCGCTGGCCAAACGGTGGTAATATTTTAACCATCCAGTTTAGTCGTTTGGTTCCCAGTCTACAGGAGTGAAATGATTTAAAGGAATGGATGACTGTTAGAGTTACCATTCATTCAACAGATAATTGTAAAGTGCCAACTCTGCTGGGTGCACAATTCTAAATGCTGAAGAAACAAAGACGAAAAGTGTAGGGGAGCCAACACACACGTAGAAATATGGTGAGTAGCACGTAAAGGAAGGTGCGTTTGTACCGCAGTCTCATCACAGAAAGGGCTGTGTGTGCGCTCTGTGTGAGGGTGAGACAAGGCTTCCTGGAAGACGTGACACGGAGGGAGGCTTGGGGATCGGAGGGCTAAGGAAGGAGCTGTGGCTGGCAGTGAGACTAGACAGAGAAGTAGGGCTGGGATCTGGGGTCTATTATGTTAAGTCAGTCATTCCAGTGGCATTCATGGGCTGTGGAGTGCCATTGAGGGTTTTCAACTGGAAAGCAAGGCCAGGATAAGTCTTTAATTCTGAAAGTTCTCTCTGGGTGTGGTGGCGCTGCAGCCAAAATTCTGACCAGACAGTGGTGATTGCAATCATTCAGTTGAGAAATGCTAAGTGCCTAAATCAGAGGCATAACCTCAGAAATGGAGAGAAAGGAATTCATTCAAGAGACAGTAACAGGGCCAGCACCGCGGCTCACTTGGCTAATCCTCTGCCTGTGGCGCCGGCACACCGGGTTCTAGTCCCGGTTGGGGCGCTGGATTCTGTCCCGGTTGCTCCTCTTCCAATCCAGCTCTCTGCTGTGGCCCAGAAGGGCAGTGGAGGATGGCCCAAGTGCTTGGGCCCTGCACCTGCATGGGAGACCAGGAGAAGCACCTGGCTCCTGGCTTCGGATCAGCGCAGTGTGCCAGCCGTAGTGGCCATTTTGGGGGTGAACCAACAGAAGGAAGACCTTTCTCTCTGTCTCTCTCACTGTCTAACTCTGCCTGTCAATAAATAAATAAATAAATAAAGAGAGACAGTAACAGAGCAGACTGGGATAGACTTTGGATCTGATGGAGGAAGGGTGGACAAAGGCAGAGAAGACTCCAGAATGAATCCTAGACTTGCTTTGGTGGCCAGCTGCATGATTACATAATGCTAAAATGAGGCACACAGAATGGGGAACAGGCTGAGCAAGAAAAGCGCAGCTTTTTTCACAGGTAGAGTCGAAGGTGCTGGGGACTTTCTGGAAATATCCATGGGAGAGCTGAATCAATCGGCCTGGCATTTGGCGGACAGGTCCAGGCAGTCACAGTCACCGTCAGCAGCAGGAAGTGGCTCTTGCTAACAGCAGGAGGCAGAGTAGAGAGGAGGCTGGGGGAGCATAGCATTGTCCTACGTGCACTTGAACTCTGAAGAACTTCCTGTCGGACAGCTCAGGGCAACCTGGCGATAGTTTCCTAACTCCTGCCCTCTTGCCCTGAAATCCCATTCTCCGCATGGCTCTGGTGACATTTCTTGTAAGTCATGCTATATTACTCCTTGCTTAAAAGTCACTAGTGACTTCTCAGACTCAAATCCAAACTAGCTGGCACAGACCAATGCCTCTACCTGGCTCCTGGCCTCTGAGTCCCTCTGGGGCTCATTCTCCCACCCATGACTCCTACAGTTCCCACGCTCATCCAGACTGCTCCTCCCCCAGGGCCCTTGCATCCACAGCTCCCTATGTCTGGAATGCTCTTTTCTAGGTCTTGCTGGCTGGCTGGCTCCCTCTCATCATCCAGGCATCTCTGCTGAAACGTTGCTTCCTCAGAGAACTTCCTTGGCTGATCTGGGCCTTCTATGCTACCATTCCCTATTTTCAACACCATTACCCTTTGTTACTGACTTCCTAGCACTGACCAATATCTGACTGTACCTGCTGATTTATTTAGTACCTACTGTATTGGAAATGATGATGTGCAAAGGTAAATTTCCACACTTTTTTTTTTTTTTAAGATTTTTATTTATTTATCTGAGAGCTAGAGTTCCAGAGAGAGAGAAAGAGAGAGAGGTCTTCCATCCGCTGGTTCACTCCCTAGATGGCTGCAATGGCCAGAGCTGGGTTGATCAGAAGCCAGGAGTCAGGAGCTGCTTCTGGGTTTCACATGTGGATGCAGGGGCCCAAGCACTTGGGCCATCTTCCACTGCTTTCTCAGGTCATAGCAGAGAGCTGGATGGGAAGAGGAGCAGCCAGGACTAGAACCAGTGCCCACATAGGATGCCGGCGCCTCGGGCAGAGGCTGAGCCCAATATAATACAGCGCTGGCCCCTCCACACTTAGCTCTTAAGGGAAACTGGAAGTGGTTGGAATCATAAAACTAAAGGCTCTGTACTCCTATTGATGGGTTTTATTTAATTTGCTAGTTTCCAAGGAGCTACAAAAATGTCTTAAGTAGGGCAATGCCTCTGTCAATTATTTTAAAATATTCATTTGGCTAAAATGTTATAAAATGCAATCATTCCATGATCCTGACCCTGTATGTTCATTTGCTGAGACAATGCTCATGTTAACTTTTTAAACTACTGTACATCGAAAACGGCTAAGTAGATGCAGGAAAGGACAAGGACATGAGAAAGTAGTCAGAGCATCTGGGGCTAATTTGAGGCCTTAGCTAGTTTTATGATGGGATCGTACAGTTCCTTCCCAGTCTACTTTCTTAGTCTCCCCTCCGTCTCAGTGTAGAAGGCAGAGAAAATCGGGTATTGTGTAATATTCAAATTAGGTCCAAACAGTACCAAGGCTGTCTTCCACACACCCAGCTGCCATGCAGGGTTTCCCCCTAACTCTGCAGCCACTGGGAGGCTGGGTTGTGGGCAGACTTTGGCTAATGGCAGTGTCCTTGGGTTGGCTAATGCTGCGCTCTTTCCATAGGGGTAGGAATGAAGTTCTTTGGACCTTTCAGCTCAGTTCCATTAAACTGAGTGCCTACTGTGCGCTACACATCACATTCAGCTCCTGGCACACAGAAATGAATAAGGTGCCCTTCTTATCTCTAAGAAGAGTGGAGGCTAGATTTAGCTCTGAGCATGTAGCACAGTGAAATGAGTTGGCTAATTCTGTACAACTTTTCCAGAATCAATCGAATGGACTTGATATGTATTCGCCAGTCTTTGAAATGTTTGTGGGGTTTTCTTAACATTTTTCTTACTCTTCACTTTCCCAGGGATAAACAAAAAACAATATTATTTTTCACTTCTTGCTTAGTAAGATAGGTTACTCCCACTTTTTTTAAAAAATATTTTTATTTATTTTTGACAGGCAGAGTGGACAGTGAGAGAGAGAGACAGTGAGAAAGAAAGGTCTTCTTTTCCATTGGTTCACCCTCCATTGGCTGCTGCGGATGGCGCACTGCGCTGATCTGAAGCCAGGAGCCAGGTGCTTCTCCTGGTCTCCCATGCGGGTGCAGGGCCCAAGCACTTGGGCCATCCTTCACTGCACTCCCGGGCCACAGCAGAGAGCTGGACTGGAAGAGGAGCAACCGGAACAGAATCTGGCGCCCCGACTGGGACTAGAACCCGTGGTGCCGGCACTGCAGGTGGAGGATTAGCCTATTGAGCCGCGGCGCCGGCCTGACTCCCACTTCTAAGAACACAGTATTCCCCAAATAACTTTTCAACACAAAGTATGTATAAATATAAAGTTTATTTAGCATAGTGTTTAGAAAAATAAGTTCACATCATTTCAGAAAACAAATAAAACACTTAATTGTCCAGGCATAACCCCCCATTACAGTACAACATACATACTCTAGATCTCTTTGGTTGGGTAATTAAGCACAGGAGTGTCCTGGGACAGGCTCTGTGTGCCATCACCTAACAGTGCAGTAAAGACTCAGTCACCCCACCCCAGGATAGACATTCTGTATAGAGTTTCTCTTTGTGTAAGGCACAGTAAAACCATACTGAGTATATAACTGGTTGCCTCTAAAGATACAGTACATGCAACGAAAGAATAAAAAAAATTTTTTTTGAGAACCCTGAAAGGCAAGAGTCACATGCTATACAATTCTGGTTAATAAACTGTATGGTAGTAATATTCAATTAACACGAAATGTACCAATTAGATACAAAATAACTTTTAAGCTCTACTGACTACCTTTTAGGAAGACTTTGAAACCTCTTTTGTAAAATGAAATTCTTTTCCCAGCTTTCCTGAATGTTTTATGAGATCAGCTGTCAACGTGTTTTAAGTGAAGAACTTGTGGCTACGTACTAATAATGCACACATGCCTAGCATGTGGCAGGGAAGGCTGCCACACGTGCCCAATAATCCAACTTTTCACATGCAAGATACAAGGGCATATACAGGGAGACTGAAGGTTAGTGTGCAATTTAACTGGATTTTTACCTATGGCTATAACATCTACCCGCCTTTCATGACACAAGAAAGGCACTGAAAAGTGTATAATCCAAAGTCTTTATGTCAATATACATGATACAAAGTAGTGTAACACAGGTGCTCTTGCCTGGCTGAGGAACAGATGCACCTCTCTAAATAGACTGTCCTTTACTAGATAGAACTAAGAGCTAAATGCCAAACGCTGGCTGATAGAGTGCATAGATAGGCTCACACCAAAAATCCCACAGCCAGAAGCAGGGGTCGGGTTTGAAGGGAGTTATTCGCCCCTACTGAGTCCTCTTCAGGGGTCAGGAGGGGTCTGTTGCAGCATCTTCAAGCATTGGTTTATGTAACAGGGAAATTCTGCCACATGAACTCCAAGGGTTTCTGAGGCCGGCCCTTGGCATTGCAAACACATTTGCAATTTTGTGCAAGGAGGTCATGGGGTTTATCTTATTCCATTCACATATACATGGGCTACAGACCAACTGGCCCTTACTTTACTGAAAGAATAGAACAGTACGTTCTTTGTAATGTGCATTGAGTCTTACCTGGAATATTGGATAGCTACCTGGAGTAATTGTAGGGTTAAAATTACATCATGTTAGGAGAATGAATGAGTTTCCTAGGTAAGTCTTAAGTTTTGTGCTATCTTTTCTTTCTCGTAAGGGAGAAAAGAGGAAGAACTCTGAATAAAAGAGAAGCTTATATATTTTGGAAGACATAAAACTTTTCCAGATTTTTATATATATATATATGTATATATATATATAAAACTTGTATAACTTATTAAATGTCCCCATCTCCTTTGTTGGATGGGTACTATTGATATCTGTAGCAATCAAGTGGAAAATCTTATTTTCATGTAAACTACACTACAGAACCATGTCATTCATCTCGGTAATGCGATCGACACACACCCTGGGAAAAAGCAAGCTGTGTTAAGTAGTGGTGGAGTGGAGCAGAACCCTAAATCACCTGACTGCAAAAAAACAAAACAGAAAACACAGAACTTCAGCAGATTATGAATATCCACCAATTCCATAACACATGGCATGTAAGTTCTTTTTCAAAACAGCAGAGAGGGGAAGTCATAGGGCTGTCAACAGAAGCTTGAAGGTTCCGTCTACACGAACACCACAGGAGAACTCTCTCTGCCCCTTACTCCACGTGCTCAGCCGATGGGCACGGCGAGATCCAGAGTGGACCCTCTGCTCTGACCTTAAGGAAAGGAAGAAGTGGAGACACGTTCATGTTCAACAACTTCAAGTCATCTCTGAAGAGAGACTTTTCTCGCAAGACCACAGAGTAACTTTCCTCCCTACACACTTGTATTGCATTGTTACACCTTGCAGTGAGTCCTGATAAAAACTACCACCACAGCTCCTAACATCAAACAAGCGTCTTACAGAAACCCAAAATATTTACTTTTAAAGAAGACACGATAATATAGTGCAAAAAACAGTCATGTATCATTGTGTAACAACTGATTCAAAACTATTAGAATGAAGTTTCAACAGGATTTTGCTCAAGAGAATTTACATATTCTTGTTTTACTCTACAATGGTTGTTTTCATAGCCTGAAGAATTGCTTTTACATGGTATCTACAATGCCATTCTTATTTTCAATATAGTAGAAAGTAGCAACAATAATTAGCTGTTCATCAATTTGCATGATCAACTTTATACTTAAAATTTAGTGAAACTTAGCTTCCTCAGTTATAAAGTAATTTTGTGGTGAAATTAACCCTGTTAGATAGTAGAAAAGAACCATCAGTGCTTCCATGGACAGTTCCGTACCTTACTGCTAATTAAAAGGCCACAAGGTAACAAGGCACGTAGAATTCTATAGAAAACATACTTAAATGAATCAGAGTTGCTAAATAAAGAACAAAGATTTGAAAAAAGTACCAAAATTCCAATATTGGGAGTTAGATTTCTGGTTTTCAGTGTTATTAACATTGACCTTAAGAGACTCCTGATAAAAAAATCATTGTTTTTAAAATCCTACAAAAAGTAAAACTTTGTTGGAAACAACTATGTTCACTTCCTGTTCAAACAATAAAAATAAATTAAACAGTAAGAAAACATTTTTCTTTTCAGTTCATAGCGCCTGAAGTGTAAGAGGAACACATACAGTATAAATAAAATTCACTGTAATTACTCAAAGCCTGCGTATAGAACTGATATATTTACATTCACACTGAAGTTTGTTTCAGAGTTTTCGTGGGGTTTCCAACTTGCTCAGCCGCACTGAGCTATAAGCAATCACATTTGGAAATGTGTAGAGACCTAAACCAAAAATGCTGAAAAAGAGAAGTGTGTCTCTGACTACCTACACACAAATATATAATTAAGCTACTGAACTTTAAAAAGACACCCTTAGAACAGTTTGGAGTACCATTTATGCTTAACCTTATCAATGCCCATGGAATAAAAGTAAACAAAAATAATTGCATTGTTTCTAATGGTCTGCAGCTATATTTAGTTTTCTATGTTACGTGTATACATTTTTAATTTAAAAATTATCAAGTTCCATTTTCACTTTAGAATGATATTGTCCACTAAAGGGTACACTTTGCCTTGAGACATTTCATCTGATTCTTCTGTCTCCACCTATTTAAGAGAGATCATTGTATGTGAACAAAAAGGCTGCAGTAATGCAGTTCTACTCTATATATTTAACTGTGATCTTCATGTAGATCTAAAGTCTCTTGAATGCATTTGCTTGCAAAAGTAGTGTTTTCCTTTGAATGGGGAAATGCTTTGTGTCCTCAGGGCTTTGGGAAAACATCTGCCCCTGATGCCAAAAAGGGAGGGGAGGGGCACACGAAGTTCATAAGTCTTGCATATCTTCATCCAGTTGGACAGTCTGGAGCTTGGCAAGCTCTTTTTTGTCTGTTTCCAGGTCTTCACACACAGTCTCAACCATGCCTTCTAGGACATATTTAGATTTGGCGTCCAGCATCATGAGGTTGCTTGCTGCTTTGTTCTCAGAATTTGGTAAGAAATTCTCTTTCAGGTTAGCTACTGATTGCAGAACCAAACGGTGCTCTCCGACAAAATCCTGGTGCACTGCCGGGGAGGCGTGGCCCACCTGGTCTTCCGAGGTAGGAACAATTTCCCCCAGGGCAGTCTGGGTCAGAGGCACGGACAACAGGTCCTGACCAGTAATGAGGGAGCAGTTCTGAAGAGTTGCATAGTTAGCGCTGCTGACCGCCGTCCCTGCGGATTTGCCTGCCACAGGTGCAGGCATGGGCTGGTTCTCGGCGATGTCAGGGTTGAGCTCAGTGGAAGTTAGCAGTGCAGGGGAAGTCAGGGAAAAACTGGGAGTTGGGGACACATTCACCAACGAGGAGGCCAGTGGGTGGAGGCCACTGCCCGAGAGGTTTTCAGGTGGCAGGTTTGCATTTACTGGTGCATTCTGATTGACGGGCATCAACTGGGAAAACACCAGGCTCCTCTCCAAGGCTTCCTGTTTCACAGATCCCACAGTCTGGCCAGAATTGGGAACAGTGTATACCACTGCACTGGGAGCCAGAGAGCTCAAGAAAACCTTGCCCTGCTGCACTGGGGCAGACTCGCTGGTGAATGCGCTCCGGTCTGAAGTGCTTGAGTTTATGGAAATATTACCTAGAAAAAGGAAAGTACTCATTATCACTGATGCAAGTCTTAGGGAATGGAAACAAACTTTTATTTTGATATAGAATATATATATATATATTTTCCTCAGGGACAGTTTATAAAGAAGCCACACTTCTACACCATCATTTAGACGAATCCTCATTCAGAATCACGTATTTAAACTTCAGAATCCTAGGCTCCATTCCTTTAAATCCTGACTAATGCAGTCCTAGAATAGTTGTATTTTCAACTCCCCTAAGTAATTCTTGTTGCTAAGTGGGAATGAGAACTACTGGTTTAGAAATGAGTTATAAGAAAAAAAAAAGAATTCTTTTACCCAAGTTCTGATTTCACTCAAGTTTCTGGTTCATTATTACTGACTTGCTACCTCTTAAATTGCTGATGGTTATTGCTAGCTCTGCCAGTTAGAACTAGAAAACACAAATGCAAAATAAAATGCCTTTGTTCAACCCCGCTCAGGAACTGACATAAAATATAAATGGAAATGGAGAAAATACCACATAAAATGAGTTAGCCCGAGGCTTAAAAGTTAACCATATAAACCTGCACAGACAAGTCGCACACTTGCACCAAACTAGCCATAAAGTAATGCCAAGTCAACAAAACATTCAAAAGGTTTTCCCCCCTTTTGTTATGCCAGTTCTAAATGTGCAGCCTTGTAATAGGAAGAATTAATGATAACATTGAAATGCGCTTTTCAAAATACAGATTAACATAAAAGACGGGAGCTAATGCTTCTCTAAAACGTTTGTATCTTTTGAGGCTCTCACTAAAATGGTCTGTGGAGACCAGGAGTAGAGAAAGAATGTGAACGGAAAGCCGAGATGATGCTGAAATCAAATAACCAGACGGTGGAGATGGAGCAGGACCACACCCCCAATCTAATAAAACCCATTCCTTTCTGAGGCTTCACCCAGGCATAGTGAAAACAATGGCAATTAGATGACCCCGGCCCTCCAGCCGTGCCATGGAAGAGAGGGTAAATCTGGAGAGCTTTGTGAGGGAATTCAGAGGGGCCATTTACCCTGATCTTGAATGAGATATTTAATAGTAGCCACAATTTCTCCAAGATGTCTCCCTTCTTGAATTCTTAGAACAACTGTGATTATATTACTACCTATACACGCTAAGTACAAAAGGACTTCTTTAAATGAAAAAAAAAAAAAAAAAGAACACTATATTTGAACTTAAAAAAAATTAAACTCTACTAAGTACTCCTCACAGAAATAACAGTGTTAAGAAAAACATAGATGGGGTGGACATGTGGTAATAGGATGTCACTTGAGATGCCTACATTCTCCATAGAGTGCTTGGCCTGGCTCCTGATTCCAACTTCCTGCTAATGGGCTCCCTGGGGGAGGCAGCCGTAATGGCTCAAGTGGTCGGGTCCCTGACACCCACCGGGAGACCCAGATTGAGTTCTGGGCTCCTGGCTTTGGCCTGGCCCAGCCCCAGCTGTTGCAGGCATTTGGGGAGTGAACCAGCAGACAAGAGATCTCTCTATGTCTCTCTGCCTTTCAAACAAGTAAAATAAATACATATATTTTTAAAAAAGAAAGAAAGACATTTCTAGATGTTTTTGGGCTGTTGCTTCACCTAAGTGTTTGTTTCAGGCCACACAAATGAAGAAACTGCTTTTAACCAAAAATACTTGACTTCAGCTTAGTTTGTTTAAAATTCTGCCAAAATTGCACAAAAACATATGAAATAGGTCTTTGTTTTGTTGTGTATTTGTGAAACTGCTTGCTGGTTATGATTATTTTTTGACAGAGCTATTAAAAACATAATACATGTGACTTTTTCCCAACTGCTGTTGATTATAAATGAAATAATATTTCTGAACATGCAGAAATAGTAACATATACAAACGATAGGGGAAAGTAGACGTGATCTAAAAGCTGGTGTTCAAGTACAACTGCAGTGTGCTTCTTCTGCTCAATTTGTTGTCTTCACAACGTTATCTACACTCAGGAAATTTTCCTTAAAACGGCACGGTAATTTTAAAAACAGTAAAAAAAAAAAAAACCTGAAAAATCACATAGGTACTAAAATATAACTCTGTAGTGATGGTACCAAAAACACTAATATTACAAAGTGAGTAAAAGATACAGATATTCTACTTTTCCACATGCCTTCCAATTACAGAAAGATAGGTCTACACTATTTAGAGGTTTTAAAGATTTATTTATTTATTTATTTGAAAGGCATCCCAAAGGGGCGCTGGCTTGGGGCCCAGCTGCTCCGCTTCTGATCCAGCTTCCTGCTAATTCTCCTGGGAAAGCAGCAGAGGATGGCCCAAGTGCTTGGGCCCCTGCACCCACGTGAGACCCGCAAGAAGCTTCTGTGTCCTGGCTTCAGGCTGGCCCAGCTCTGGCCTGTTGGGAGTGGTCATTTGGGAAGTGAACCAGCAGGTGGAAGTTTTCTTTCTCTGTCTTTGCCTCTTTCTCCGTAGCTCTGCCTTTCAAATAAATAAGTAAAGTCTTGGTTTCTGTTTTAGAGAAAGGCTGGAAATCCTCAAAACCCTTTATTGAGGCTCATAATACACAACTACTATAAAGGAACATTACTTACTGGATCCACCTGTTTAAACTTATGCCTTTGGCAGCCCTGTCATTTGATCTTAGCCATTTTAACTGAAAATACTATCCTTATTCCTATTAAATGTCCCATTACAAAATCAGCTATTAGTTGATAATAATTTTCTATGGCTGCACTTTTCTTGATCACACATGAAAAGCATTTCGGCTTCTCTCCTTCCCAACATATAGCCATACTTTCTGCTCAATTTGTAGTCTTTAAAACATTCCCTACTGTTTGGAAAATTCTCCTAAAGAGAGAAAGGGGTTAGAGCCACATTAAATCATTACAGAACTAAGCACTTTGGCTCTCCTTGTGATTTTCATATTTTTGAGCTGTGTTGGACAGTGGCTTAGCTTAACTCTTCCCATAACCTGGAGCAATGAAGAACTGAACAGTATGCTGCAGCAATGTCCTGCCCTATTACCATTTTGCCTAAAGAGAAACAAATGCACAGGATGAAATTGATAACAGCTTTTCCACAAAAGCTTCCAGTAAGCTGAAGTAGACTACAGTTGTAAAACAGCAGAGTTGTACATTTTTTTTTTTTTTTTTTGGTAAAGCCATCTTACAGGAAGCTGACCTTTGAGGTCACCAATTACTTAAATTTGCTTTTTAAAACATCTGAATTTTCAGATGTGCTTATTGGAAGGCAAACGTGCATTATTAACATCTCCCATTCCTGAACTGAAGGGATGATGCAAGCTCCACCTCCAACTTCTAGCCACACCCACTTCTATACAGAGAAGATGATAGGGTGATCCAGACTTGCCTAAAGTCAGTGACTCACGGGTCAGCCTCAGGTTTCCCAAATTTCAGATCAGTGCTTCTCCTAGTAGATTGCCATTAGCAAAGCCACAAACATAAAATAATCTGTCTTCACAGATAAACCCACACGTTTAAGGAGAGAACATGCACGCAGAGCAACAGAAACCCAACAACAGACTCCTCTGTATTCTTTTACGCCTCTTACTCTGAACTACAGGAAGTAAATGATTCAAACACTATTGATCCAATCTTTTTTAGTTTGTTCTTTTAAAACATCTTCTGGTCAAATAAATCACGCTAGGATAAAGTGTACACATTGTCACCAACTGTTCGACAAATTCTGTGTTCTTAGCAATGTATTAATTTTTAATTTTAAAATGTCAAGCCGTGCGTTATTTTGTAAGCACAGATTGACTTATTGTAGTGCCATAATTGTAGAATTGGCAAGACTTGTTATGAACTGGATTTTTCCATTCAGTTGTTGGGAAAATACAAGGCCACCCACCCCCACGATGCAAGGGAACCGAGCAAGCTGGATACGAATGGGTGCTGTGCAGGAGGAGGACCACATCCAGGCTACTGTGCAGCTTTGGCAGCCAATAAGAACCTCAGCGGGGACATCACTTTAGAGCCCTCAATGCATCACTCAATGCATCACTGACAGCAGCTTAAGCAACACCTCCAACCGTGCCTTACGGTACCAAATGAGACTTTTACCTGGGGAAGCTGCCACTGAGACAGGAGGCAGCTGCAGCGGAGAGAATCCAATGCTCCCATTAAGGAACTGGCCGTTGGCTCCGGAGTTGGGGATCTGGACAATGCCGTACTGGTTGATCTGCACTGGGGTCGTGAAAGTCACCACAGAGCTTCCCTCCTGGGAGGCCACTGTTTGAATGTCTTCTCTTTTCACCTCCGCGCTGGGGATCAGCCCTGGGAATGACGCTGGGGCACTGGGGCTGTAGGAGGTGGTGGCTGCCGCGTTGGCTGCAGAACTCTGCAACACTTTGAATTCCTTCACATCCTGGGAGGTAGGCCCCAGGATGTCCGTCATGGAGATCCCATTGCTCACAATGTTGGTTGACATTTTTGGTGGGTTCAAGGACACTGTCTGTGTGTTTCCCACATTTAATCCATTTAGGATGACTCCACTGGGTCCCTGAATGAAAGAATTACCATTAAGGAAAACAGGCGAAGTACTTGCAGGTACTAAGCTTCCATTCAACAAAACTCCAGAAGAGCTTAACGATATCTTAGCATTTCCAATTTGCTGCATGTACACGGGCTCCATGTGACTGGACAGGCTGAGGTTGGTGACGGCGTCGGAGGAACCCGGGAGAGGGTGAGGAGACAGGTCCTCCTGTCCTTTGCTGGACTCATCTTCAGTGCTGGGATTGCCATCGGACTCACTGCACAGAGGGGAAATGAAGACATTCAGAAAGTCAGGGGCGTGTCCATCTACCGGTGCCATTTGCTAGGAAAACCTTCTACACCCACGAAAGGCAGGATCTAAGGGACGCACAGCAGATTCGGACCAGCCAGAGAACCTGGGAAGTTGAACCCTCAGTTTCCAGTCATTTTAAACAACGATAAACCCAGGGAAAGTCCAGCGATCAAGAACACGGAAATCCAGCCAGCGGGACTCACAGAATACTTCCCGTGCATGTGTTTTGACAGCGTTCAAGTGCTATCCCTCACTGCTAAACCACGCTTCTACTTTCCCCAGCGAGGATGAAGCGCAGTGGTCAGCCTCTCCGGCGTAGGAACCTCCCCCTCCCTCACTGGTGGGTCTGGTTTGCAGGAGCAGGAGCTGGGAAGTGTTCCGCGCTCTCTTCCAGTTTAGTTTAGTTTGCAAGACACCTTTTTCTCATCTGCTCCCAAGCGTCTACTGCACCACACGGCCAACAGTCTCATTCCACAAAGGGGCTGTCTTTGTGGCAGCAAAGGACCAGGCACAGTAACGTGCAGGGGCCTCCGAATCCCAAGAAAGGAAGCCACGAGGGACCTAAAGGACCTGCACTTCCTCCAGGGCCCTGGTGAGCTGGGAGGCCAAGGCCGCTGCGGGTCAGGGCCTCGCAACGAATCACGCCCCTTCCCCACAAGGCCTCAGCCCCCGTTCCGGGCGGGCCTGCGCTCTCAGCACCCCGACTTCGAGGAAAAAACTGAATCAGGGTAGGGGGGTGCATAAGTGGGTTTTATTTCCCACTTGATTCGAGGCTGGCCGCGGGAGCAGGACAAGGGACAGGTTGGAAGCGCGGCGGGACTTGGCCCCGCAGAGGACCCGACAAGCCCGCAGTGGCTTCCCCGCGGTCGGTTCGCTTTCATGCCCAGAGGAGCAGATTTATCCGGGCTTTGGGGCTGCGGGGCCCGGAGCGCAGAAAGCGCTTTGATTTACGAGCTGAGGCTGAGCCGCCGTCGCCGTCTGGGAGGGTGACTCACGGGGCTTGCGGGTGGGAGGTAGATCCGGAGAGGGGCCTAAACCGGGCAACTGGGGCGGGGGTACGGAGCTAATGGGCAGTGGGGGGGGGGGGTGGGGGAAGCGGGCGTAGGGGGCAGGGAGGAGCCGGACACGCCCGGCTCGGGAGCAGAGGCTGCAGGGCGCGGTGCCCGCCCCGGCCTGGCCGTCCCCGGGGCCGCGAGGATTCCGCCAGTGCCGGCGGCCTCCAGCGGGCGCTGGGGGCAGGTGGCCGGCGCACGCCGCGTGCCTCCTCCGGTCTCTGCAAGCCTGCGGCAGCGCGGACGCACGTCGCGGGGCGCCGTTTTGTTTTGGTTACCGCGGGGCCCGGCTCGGCCGGATCGGGGCAGAGGAGCGCCCGGGCGGCCAGGCCCCTGTGGGGGCGCAGGGGCAGGAGCAGCCGGCCGCGGAATGCGCCGGGCGATCACCTCCACCTGGCCCGGGCGGTCTCCGCGGCGCCCGGATTCCTTTCCTGAGGACCTTCCAGCTGCTTTGAGATTCCCTCTCTCCTTTGCTCGCGGGCCGGAGACGCCATCCCCTTACGGGATCTTTTCCTTATTTTACCTCGTCCGGACACACACATACACACACACACACTCTCATGGGTCTGACTCGGGAGAACCCACGAAATAGATAGGGAACCGGAGATTTTCTACCAGAAGGGAAAAAAAAAAATTTCTCCTAGTTAAAAAGTTCAAACTCGGCAAGGGTGGGCGCTCAAGGAGGCGCGGAGCCGCTGGCGCCCCCCTTCCCGCCGCCGGCCGACCGCAGCCTGCCCTCCCCACGCACCGTCCCGGGACCGAGCCCCGCAGCCCCGCCACCCCCGCGGCGCTGAAACCCGATCCCACGGAGGTCAGAATCAGGTTTCAAAACACGACGGAGCCCGGCGCACCAGCACCCCACGTTGCCGCCAGCCAGCGCCGCGAAGGGAACCACAGCGGGCAGAGTGAATGATTAACTCTGTCACATAAAAACCTCGACGTCCCCAGACCCCTTCCGGGCCGCCAGCCCTCGCGCCACCGCGGCCCGCGACCCACAGCTGTCGGTGGCTGGGTGCGGGGTGCAGGGAGGCGACCTCCGCCACAGGCCCGGGGGGCGGCCGAGTGCCCGGGACCCTGGAGCGTGCGCGCCCGCGCGCCGCACCCGACGCGACCCCGTGGAGGTGCAGCCCCCCGGGCCCGCGTCCCGACTTGCACACACACGCACACATGCACACGCTCCTCCCGCAGGGCCAGAACCGGGGAGAGAGAGAAGTGGCAACTTCAAAGCCGGCGGGAGCGGGGTGGGAAGCCGGGCAGCAGTGACCAGCCGAGGTGGGGGCGGGGACTGAGCCCTAGGCCGGCGACGAGAAACTTCTGGGGGCGGGAGGGGGAGGGGGAGGAAAGAGGCTCCCCCGCCCCCCTCGTCACCGCCGCCCCCCGCCCGCAGCCGGGGAGCGAGGTGGGGGGCGGGGAGAGGTGGGCAGCCGGACCCGGCTGGTGGGGAAGGTAAGCGCCATGTTTGCGAGCGCCGGGAGGAAAAAAGAAAGCTGGGAAGGGGGGTGGGGGAGCGGGAGGGGGAGGCGGAGGAAAGTTGGCGCTCACCTTTTGGACTGGGTCTCCGACGGGTTCCGGTCGCGCTGCCGGCGGTTCTTGAACCAGTTGCTGACCTGGGTGAGGGAGAGGCCGGTGATCTTGGCCAGGTGCCGCTTCTCGGCGGGCGAGGGGTAGCGATTCTGCTTGTAGAGCTCCTTGAGCGCGTTGCGCGACTTCTCCTTGAAACAATACACCGTCTCCTCGCCGTCCCAGATGGTGCGGGGCAGGGGGAATTTCCTGCGCAGCCGGTACTTGTCCACGGCGCCCAGCGGCCGGCCGCGGGCGCGCTCGGCCTCGGTGTAGCGCGCCTTGTACCAGAGCTGCTGCAGCAGCGGGTGGTTGGCCGACTCGAAGCTGTGGCTCTCCAGGATGCTGTAGAGCTCGGGGTAGATGCCCTGGTGGAAGGCCACGAGCGCCCGCGCCTTCAGCAGGCTCTCGTTGCCACGTAGCAGGTCGCTCTGGGGCAGGGACCACAGGAACCGGGCCAGGCGGTCCAGGTTGCCCCCCTGCTGCAGCGCCTCGCACACGCAGGCGACATGGTCGGGCGAGAAGGCCAGAGGGGTCTGCGCGCCCGCGGCGGTGGCGGTGGCGGCGGCGGCGGCGGCAGGCGGCGGCGGCGGCGGCGGCAGCGGCGGCAGCAGCGGCGGCGGCGGCGGCGGCGTGGTGCCGGCCCAGAAGTTCCGAGTGGAGTTGTACCTGATCGGCCGCCGCTGCTCCGCTCGCCGCCGCCGCCGCCGCCGCCGCCGCCCCTTCCTCTCCGCTCACCCCGGCGGCCGCGGCGTCCCCCGGCTCCAGAGGGAACGGCGCTGGAGCCGGGGGGGTGAGCCGCGCCGCCGCGCCCCCCGCCACTTCTCGGGGCGCCTCCTGCCCGTCCGAGGCGTTTTCCATCCCATTCTCCTGCTTGATGTCCGCCGCACTTGCGATCTGCCCGGTGGGGGAGGAAGAGGACATTTTTTTGTTGTTTATTTTCCTCCCTCCCTCACTCCCTCGCACTCTTTTCCTCTTTCTTTGCCCCTCTCTCCTTACTCCTCCTGCTGCGCCTCCCTCCCCCCTCCCCCCCTCCGGAAAGCCCACTCCCTCCCTCCCGGTTTCGGCTGGATCTGGCCGATCAGGTTTCCCCCCGGCCACGCAGTCACCATTAAGATAGCTGCTAGAGCAAAGTAGTGTAAACGGATAGCTGGTTTCTGCCGTTCCCCCAACGTGACTCCGCCGGTTGCTGCATACTATATGGCACTGCCGGCCCGGCCGCGCCGCCTCATTGGCTACTTCGCAGTCAGAGGGAGGAGGAGACACCGATTCTAGCCCTGTCGATCACCCGCCTCCCACTCCACCCCTCGCCTTTCCCTCTCCCCCTGACCCCCAGGCACCTATACCTGAAGGGAAACACCTACATTCTTCCCCGGCCCGCTCCCGGGCGCGGAGGATTGCCCTACCGCGGCCCGAGAGCAGGACGACTCTTCCCAGAGGGAGGCCCTGCCATTTTCCGGAGGGAGTCGGAGCATTGGGTGGCCTGGAGAGCTGGCCGGCCGAGTGCCTAACAAAGAGACCACGTCCCCGCATCTGGGCGACAACATTTCTGGGGACGGGGTGGAAGCTTCCTGGTTCTCTTCCCCCATCCCCTTCAGGAGGGGTTTTTGTATTCCAAGGGGTCAAGGAGAATGGCGCTTGGGAGTGAGTGTTCTAGAGGGCGAGCATTTACAGTAAATTAAAATCCCAAAGGAGGGAAAATGCTTGAACATCTTAAAATAAGCTATGGAAATAACTCACCTGACAAGGCCAAGAAAGGAAACCTTGAAAAAAAAAATGTACTTAGCTTGGAGTCCCCTGGAGGGTGGCAGCTGGACTGGGATGAGCAGGATATGACTAAGCGTATAGGATAGTAAACCATGAGTTTATCCTGGATAGGTAGTGGGGAAGAGAGCCACGCTTTTCCATAACTGGATGGGAACGTTAGTCTTCTGTAGGAATATTTTCCTTGTGCGCGCAGGCATGCTTCCTTGAAGATGATAGCCCTGGTGGCAGCACCATCTTTGTTTGGAGAGAGGCTGGTGGCACCAGGACCGCTTCCACGGCGGAGCCAGATGGAAGATAGATTGCCTTTCAGTCGGAGGCTGCGGTGCAGGGTACAGTCTGCTGCTGTTTGCAGCTCTGTCCTTCCTGCCGTGGCCTGGGGGTCCCTACCTCTCTGGTCACTGTGGGTCCGTTGGGTCGGAGCACTGCTGCTCTTTCTGAGAGCCCAGGGTTTTGATGACATCGTGCTAACCTTTTCTTCAGGGTGGCCTTGCATGGCTTCTGCTTTCCAACTCCCCAAAACTGCCTACTTCAGCGTGGAATAAGGCAGCTGCTGCTGTCACCTGCTGCCATGATCAGCTTCGTGAGGCTTTCTGTTTTGCTGTCGGGTTGCATTTTGTTGCTGGTCAGCCAAGATGTCACTTGAAGTAGCATTTAACCTGCTTTCGTATTACCTTGATATGATGAAGCTAGAAGTGACATCTCTGGTGGATATAAAATTCATAATCAAAGGAAAGATCACAGGTTTCTGCTCCACTGGAAACTCCCAGTTAGGTATCAAACCTTTAGGACATTATTTGAGATTCAGAACTTCTTTGAATTTTAAAAAATATTCTTTTTTTGTGGATTTTTTATTTACCAAAAAGTCACAGAAATAATACAGTTTCCATTTACCCTCCAGCTGCTTGCCCCTAATATTGACATCTTCCATTATAATGCTGCCTCTACTATTGTCTTCAGCCTTGTTTTTGGATTTCACCAGTGTTTCCGCTCATGTCCGTTTTCTGTTCAGTGATTCAATTTGATGTACCATATTGCATTGAGTTCCTTGAATTTTTAAAGCATGTTTATTAGAGCCAAGTAGACAGGAGCTGGTGTGGCTTAGTGGGGAGGATGTGGGTTTGGAGCATTGGCTAGCTAGCTGGAGGTTTAATCCCTAGCCCTGCCATTTATTAGCTCCTTGACTATAAAAAGCACACAGGGTTGTTGTGAGGATTAAATGAGATAAGATGTGCCAAAAAGCACCTGGTGCATAATTAATCCTGGGGAAATGTTTGTTATCTTCCTCCTGATAGTGCAAAGCAAGAGACTTTTCAGTTGCATATACCTAATAAAGACTCCTTTGGCTATATCATGGGGCTATCCAAGGTCAGGTCATAGGAGTCTGCTTCAGAATTATTATTAATCAAATGTAGTGCATGAACTTGGGAAGCCACATGATGGGCTTCTGCATACCCTCTGTGTGTTTGCTTTTAGAGCACCAAGTTCAACATTACGCAGAAGTGGCAGTAGCCTCGGTGACCTCTGTAGCCCGTGGTTGCACTGGTATTCCGAAGCTCCAAAAGGAGATTCCTGTAGGACCAGAAGTTGAAATTTAACACCAGCCTCTGGGTTCCTTTAGGTGGCTGAGCCTCTGCCCTCATTCTGCCAGCAGTTCAAAGGGGACTCAAATGTGGTTGGCGACATTGATTGGAATGGAACAGCGGACTTGAGGGTGTTTGGACTCTGTCTCAGCACTGGTTTTACCCAATGATTTGTAAAATTGATGACGACTTGGCTTCTCCCTCCATGTTTGCCATGCTGTGAATATTGGGTCTGTTGTGCTGATAGGCAGTCTAAGCTGCGTTGTGACTGGGAAAACAGTTGAGGCTGGGATCCTGCGAGCATGAAGAACATCAGAAGAGGAAGCTGCTGTTCCAGTGTCTTCCTTCCCGCCTAAGGATGCAGATAGGAGTACGTGGACATCATTTGACATTTTACTGTATTAATGAAAAAACAGTTCAACACAAAATGTTACACTTTGCTTGAGTATATTTAATAGTTTTACTGCTCAGAATGGAGATTTCCTTTTTTAAGGCTGGGAGGTGGAAGGAAATCCATATGAGAATACCTTGGAGGAGAGGTCCTTTTAGAAAGCTTATGAACTGTTAGGCAAGTTAGGTTCTCAGGTCATCTTCCATCCATTGCTATGTAGTGATGTCTGATGATATGTAGTGAATATTTTCTGAAGGGTCATTCATTTGCCAAACATTTGTTAAATCCTGACGCAGTACAAGCTATGTCATTGGTTACCAACGGATGGAACCGAGGATCGTAGCTGGTCCCAAACTTAGGAGAGAGATGTTTTGACTTTATGATGGTATGGAGGTGATTCACACTCAGAACCCTGCTTCACATGTTGAATTTTGATCTCTCCCTGGGCTAGGGATGTGTGGTCTGAGCCTCTCCCTCCAGCTCTCAGTGAGCCCCCAGTTGCTTGGGAAAACAGTGTGTGCCCTGCAGTGTGCTGCGTTAGGGTGCCTGAGGGTTTAGGCTTACTAAGTGCATTTTCTTTCCTTCCTTCCTTCCTTCCTTCCTTCCTTCCTTCCTTCCTTCCTTCCTTCCTTCCTTCCTTCCTTCCTTCCTTCCTTCCTTTTTTTGACAGGCAGAGTGGACAGTGAGAGAGAAACAGAGAGAAAGGTCTTCCTTCCGTTGTTTCACCCCCTATGACTGGTGTGCTGTGCAGATCCGAAGCCAGGAGCCAGGTGCTTCCTCCTGGTCTCCCATGTGGGTGCAGGGTCCCAAGCACTTGGGCCATCCTCCACTGCCTTCCGGGGCCACAGCACAGAGCTGGACTGGAAGAGGAGCAACCTGGACAGAATCTGGCGCCCCAACCAGGACTAGAACCCGTGGTGCCGGTGCCGCAGGCGGAGGATTAGCCAAGTGAGCCGCGGTGCTGGCCAACTAAATGCATTTTCAACTTGAAATATTTTCAGCTTACAATGGGTTGATCTTGCTGTAAACCTGTCATTCATTGAAGCATCTGCATATTGAGGTCTCTGATCCTGAGAAGCTTGAAATCCAGTAGAAGATAAGAGACATATTTACACAGGTTCTTCAAAAAGTTTATGGAGGGCCTGGTGCTGTGGCATAGTGGGTTAAGCCTCCACCTGCAGGGCCGGCATCCCATATAGGCACCGGTTCTAATCCCGGCTGCTCCACTTCCGATCCAGTTCTCTGCTGTTGCTTGGGAAAGGAGTAGAAGATGGCCCAAGTCCTTGGGCCCCTGCACCCACATGAGAGACCCAGAAGCAGCTCCTGTCTCCTGGCTTTGGACTGGCCCAGCTCTGCAGCCATTTGGGGAGTAAACCAGCAGATGGAAGACCTCTCTCTCTCTTTCTCTCTCTCTTTCTCAACTCTGCCTTGCAAATAAATAAATAAATCTTAAAAAAGAGTTAAGCTTCAGGTGATTTCCTTTTAAAAAAAAAGTTTGTGGAAGAGTGGAATAAAGATGTTTATTTTGATGTCTAAAACCTTTGAAATCCATGCATTTTAAATAAAATAATTTAAATTCCATGGAGATTTTGAAGTGGACACAGGATATGAAAGTGGTTAGGGTAGAGCTCTTCAGAGAGAAGGCAGGCAGTGGGGAGTGGGGTTTGAGCTGGATCTTTAAGAGAGAACTGATGTAGTGCTCACTAGAGCGAGAAAGAGAACAGAGCAAGAAAGCCATGGAGCACAAAGGTACAGGGCATATTTCTGAAATACCTGTTAATCCAGTGTGTCTGAACTAGGGGTTTACTATATAAATGGGTGGTAGGAGAGAGCTTAGAAGGCACTGTGGACACAAATGATGAAGAACTTTGAAATGTTTGGTGTGTATGGTGGCCATGTCCATGTACCCTATTAGGGGCACCATCAGTTGGTCCAGGATGGACACTTGTGCCAAACTGAAACAGTTAAAATCCCTTCCTGGTGTTTTTTTTCAACTTGTACTGGAATAATTAGGATGGGGGAGGAAGCCTTAGGTAACGCTTGGAAGTGCTCAGTGACCAGGTTCTCTCGCGTGCAGGACACTGATGAGCGGAGATGGCGCAAATGGTGTCTCATCATGGGTGAGCGTGGAGGGAGACATCCTGGCAGAGACTGCGTGAGTACAGCCAGGTGTAGCAGCACTCATCCCTTTTGGTGGTGAAATGAATTTCTCCAAGGAGGAAAAAAACCCACACTTGAACTGTCCAAAAATACAGGCAAAAAGATGAACTTAATGCATCATGATATCAAACAGGGTGAAGGGCAGGCATATAATTGGCTGAAGCTGAAGACCTGCTGTCTAATTCACTTGCTTTTGCCTTTCTCTGCAGATTAGTTTTCAAAAGAGCTTTGTTGGGGCTGGCGCTGTGGCATAGTGGGTAAAGCCTGCAATGCCGACATCCCATATGGGCACGAGTTCTAGTCCTGGCTGCTGCACCTCCAATCCAGCTCTCTGCTGTGGCCTGGGAAAGCAGTAGAAGATGGCCTGAGTCCTTGGGCCCCTGCACCTGCGTGGAAGACCCAGAAGAAGCTCCTGGCTCCTGGCTTCGGATATGTGCAGCTCTGGCGGTTGCGGCCAACTGGGGAGTGAATCATTGGATGGACGACCTCTCTCTCTCTCTCTCTGCCTCTCTTTCTCTTTGTGTGTAACTCTGACTTTCAAATAAATAATTAAAAAATAAATCTTTTTAAGCCGGCGCCGTGGCTCAATAGGCTAATCCTCCACCTTGCGGCGCCGGCACACCGGGTTCTAGTCCCGGTTGGGGCGCCGGATTCTGTCCCGGTTGCCCCTCTTCCAGGCCAGCTCTCTGCTATGGCCAGGGAGTGCAGTGGAGGATGGCCCAGGTGCTTGGGCCCTGCACCCCATGGGAGACCAGGAAAAGCACCTGGCTCCTGGCTCCTGCCAGGATCAGCGCGGTGCGCCGGCTGCAGCGGCGGCCATTGGAGGGTGAACCAGCGGCAAAGGAAGACCTTTCTCTCTCTGTCTCTCTTCTCTCACTGTCCACTCTGCCTGTCAAAAAAAAAAAAAATAAATAAATCTTTTTAAAAAAACCCTGATATTAAAAACAATTTAAAAAAAGAGCTTTGCCGAGAAGCAAAGGAACCATGACTCTCAGTCACTTTCAGCTCCCCAAAGAGCTTCTGCCGCTTTCCCCATATTGCTAATTTGGAAGGATCTAAAGATCTCTGATTGGTCCAATAAGGTTCTCTGCTGCCCAGCCCAGTAGAAAGCCACTAAGGTGTGTAGGGAAGGGGCTGCTATCCATAAGAATCAGAGAGAAGTGCTCTCCTTTGTAGAGGGACAAAACAGTAAACTTCCCCTTCCGCTTCCGTAGAGGAAAGCTCAGCTTGGGTCTCTGAGAAACACAGCCCGGGAGGCAGAGGCGAGTGTTCAGCAGGTGGGAATGCTAGAGGGTGGCAGATTTGCGACTAGAAATGCTGTTCCCTCGGCCCACTGTTGGGGTGCTGCTGCCTTCAGAAATGTAGGGTACTTCCTGATTGCGTGGTTTTCTGCACCCAGGCTGAGGTTCCATTTGAACTAGAAGTCTGCTTCCGTCAGTGCTTTTCTTCTCAAAGCTCTCTGGTCAGTCTGTGTTACTGAACCCCAATTCAGAGCTTCTGTCAGGTACTAGTCTTTGTAGTGTGGAGGTAAATAATCATTACAGCCACCCTTTGAGAGGTTCTGTGTGGAGGAGGGGAGCTGGGGTAAGGGAAGACGGAAATTGGGCTGGAGCATGGGTCCCTCTGATTTACTTTTTCTTTGCTTTGCCTTTTTTTTTTTTTTTAAGATTTATTTACTTGGAAAGCAGAGTATCAGAGAGGGAGAGACAGAGACAGAAAAAGGTCTTTGCTCCCCAAATGACCTCAACAGCCAGGGCTGGGCCAGGACAAAGTCAGGAGCCTAGAACTCCATCTCTGACTCATTTTTTTAAGAAAGTATTTTTAAGAATTCTTTAGGGGCAGGGGCGGTGGTTGTGGTGCAGTGGGTTAAACCCACTTCCATATCAAGAGCTCCTGGGATCAGATCCTGCCTTTGCTTCCAGTCCAGTTTCCTGTTAGTGCATCTTGGGAGGCAACAGATGATGGCTCAAGTGCTTGGGCTCTGCCACCCACATGGGAGACTTGGGTGGAGTTCCTGGCTCCTGGCTTTGGCATGGCCCAGCCCTGGCTACTGTGGCCCTGTTGGGAGTGAACCAGCAGATGAAAGACATCTCTCTTTCTCCCTTTTAAGTAGATGAAAAATAAAGAAATAAACCTAGAAAAGGTCAGGTTAATCTCATTACATTTTTCATACTATTACTACTACTAATGGCCAATACATACTTAGGTCTTATTCTGTACTAGGTACTGTAATTATGCATTTTAAATGAAATATCTTATTTAATCATTAACTAAGAGTGTACTTCCATAAGTTCATGAAACATTGGATTAAAAGATAAATTTATTTAAAAATTTTGAAATCCTTGTTACAAGGTATCTTCAAAAAAGTCATGAGATTATAAAGAAACTCTGTAGCAAAATAAACTTAAATTTTCATTCCATGTTTCCACAAAATTTTTATTTATTTTTATTTGAAAGGCAAAGAGTCAGGGAGAGGGCGGAATGGGAAGAGAGACAGAGCCGTATCTTCCATCCACTCAGTCACTTCCCAAATTCCTGCAATTGCTGGGGCTGGGTCAGGCTGAATCCAGGAAGCCAGAACTCAACCTGAGTCTCTCATTTGGGAGGCAAGGCCCCAAGTACTTGAGCCATCACCTGCTGCCTCCTAGAGATTGCACTAGTAGAAAGCTGTAATCAGGACTTAAACTAAGGCACTCTGCCATGGAATGTGGGCATCCCGAGTAGCATCTTAACCTCTGAGCCAAGTGACCCCTGATGTGTGAACATTGCGAAGTATGCTTCCATTTTTTAAAAATGATTTATTTATTTATTGGAAAGGCAGAATGACAAGGTGGGGGAGAGAGAGAGAGAGAGAGAGAGAGAGAGAGAGTTGGTTCTAGAGATCAAGACCTTCCATCTGCTGGTTCACTCCCCAAATGGCCACAACAGCCAGGGCTGGGCCAGGCAAAAGCCAGGAGCCAGGAGCCAGGAACTCCATCCAGGTCTCTCGCATGGGTGGCAGGGACCCAAGTACTTTGGCCATCATCCACTGCTTTCCTGGGCGTACTAGCAGGGAGCTGGATTGGAAGCAGAGGAGTTAGGTGTCAAACTGGCCCTCTGATATAGTGTATGGTGGTCCCAAGCTGTGGCTTAGCCCACTGCACCAGTATGCTTGTATTATCCTCAATTTACAGTAGTTGGGAAAACTGAGATTCAGGGTCATGAAACCAGTAAGTGAGGAAACGAGCACTAGAATCCTTCTCTCTCGGTGCCGGAGATCAAATCTACGTGCACTGTTTTCTACTGTATTTCCCTCCAGGAATAAAGCTGATGTGGCAGTTTTTCTGTTAGTTTCTCAAGTGGGCGAGTACAAGGCTTGCATCAGTTTCTCCCACAATCTTCAATGCTTCCTTTGCCTTGATTGTAATGCTTTGGAGAAAGGCAAAGCAACTCCCTTTACAATGTGGTTGAGGTCTCCTCACCCAAGACGTGATCAAAGCTGTCCTGGTGGTAATAAAGAATAATGCCGACTTAATCGATGACCTCTCAGTGTAGCTTGGACTAAAATGGACCGTGTTTATTCTCTGACCACAAGTTTCCTGTTCTGCTATAAGTATAAAGATCCTAAAGTTGCCTTTGTTCTTGGAGAGCTTCACTTTGAATCACAAAACTGTTGGGATGTGGTCTTTTTCAGTAAGATAATGGCAACATTTGGTGTTGTCTTTTTTTTTTTTTTTTGTTAATGTACTTATTTATTTGACAGGTAGAGTTATAAAGAGTGAGAGAGAGAGAGAGAGAAATGTTTTCCTTCCATTGGTTCACTCCCCAAATGGCCTCTATGGCCAGCGCTGCGCTGATCCGAAACCGGGAGCCAGGTACTTCCTCCTGGTCTCCCATGTGGGTGCAGGGCCCAAGCACTTGGGCCATCCTCCACTGCCTTCCTGGGCCACAGCAGAGAGCGGGCCTGGAAGAGGGGCAACCGGGACAGAATCCTGTTCCCCAACCAGGACTAGAACCTGGCGCCCATATGGGATGCTGGTGCTGCAGGCGGAGGATTAACCAAGTGAGCCACAGCACTGGCCCTGGTGTTGTCTGTTTTAATAATTTTATATTTTGTTAAGTACAGTCCATGAAAAATGCTGTGATCAAGGATATTTTGTGGCTTATATGTTAGGTGAGTACCTGATGCCTATGTGTTAACATGAAGCCCTGTGCTGCCGTGGCCTGCTTTTGCTTGCTGGTTCCTGGACATGGTATCCAGGTGTTTGTCAGATTCACCCTCTGTAACCCAAGAAAATCCCAACCCTATTTCCAACCTATGGGTTGACTACTGGGTTCACTGTTTTTAAAAGTGGGAATTGGAGTTGGAATGTTTCTTTTTATATTTTTATTGAAAAGAGCAAAAGTGCTAGGAAGAGTTAAAATTACTAGGAGTGTATACAGCTGGTATTCATTGTATGGGTTAATTTGAAAAACCTGTGTGCATGCCTGCTTCTGGTGGAATTTGGATCAGATGAAGGTGATTACAAGAAAATGCTTGGCATTAAAAATCCGCATTACACTGTTATTTGATGGCTCCTCATTCATTCTTCATTTGCTCTTTCACTAAATATCAACAAGTTCTTGAGACGGGTAAGAAGTGTCAGTGGCAGTGGGAGTTTATAATTCAGTAAATACTATTGAATAGAATATTATTGAATATTTAGACTTCAGGTTACTTTCCTGATAAATGCAGTAAACGTGGCTGACAATCCCCAAATCTTGGAATAGCTTAAATAAAGATGTTTGTCCTCTGAGGTGATTTTCACCTTCAGTTTTTGGGGAAACGAATGTTGTCTTTGATGGGGGAAGCCGAGCTGTTTGAGTCACGTGATCCTGTTCAGCGCACTGGACAGCCCTGAGGCGAGTGGCTTTCTGCAGAGTCCATGTCAGATATTATTTATAGAAGTATTCTGACATTTAGTGAGAATTTGTAATGTTGCTGCCAAGGCGATCGTTCGCGATGACTTTTTCTAATTTCCTATCTGCAAACGCATATTGTTTTTCTGAACTTACATGACTATGCAAATATGAAGTAGCACAAAGCACAGGCTATCAAGTTTTCCTAAAGAAACTATCTAGACGCTCGATTACGTGCACCGAGCATAAATCCGTGGGATACTGGGAATGTTTCCAGGCAGAAGATGGCATTTATCTTCCGAATTGTGACTTGGTAGCTTGGAAAATGCAGCTAGGTGCGTGGAGATGAGGAAGGCTAAGACAGAGCCCCAGCCGCAGCCGCAGCGAGCTCGCCGGCGGAACGTTTGTGCTGCGGGGCCTCAACTCCAGCCGGTGCCCTTTCGCGAAGGGACCGCCTCTGCCCAGCGCCGGTTGGTGGGACCCGGCTCGGCGTCGGCTCTGAGCGGGGCTGTGGGGACCTGTGGCCGAAGCCGGCGTCGGGGAGAATCGGTCGGCGAGGAGGCAGCATGGATGATCAGGGATGCCCCCGGTGTAAGACCACCAAGTACCGGAACCCCTCCTTAAAGCTGATGGTGAATGTGTGCGGCCACACTCTGTAAGTCGGCGGCGGTGTGTTCCTTGGGGGGAGACACGCCAGGTGGGAGGAGAGAGCCGGGAGGTAGCTTGGCCTGGGCTCGGAGGTGTAGAGAATGTCAGTAGCCTCGACCCAGGGCCGAGGAGGCGTTGCTTTTCAACATGGCCTGTAGCTGCTAGCCCTGAGCAGCCCTGGCCTGCGTTGCAAGGCGGGGTCCCGGGGTGGTACCCGGCAGTTGGCAGGTGCCCCGCCACAGCCAGGGAAAAGCTCCATCCACTGTGCTTCCAGGCTTCGTGTTTGCTGTCTCCACGCGCGGCGCCGGCCAACGGCGTGGGGCATTGCAGCGGTTCT